ACGTGACAGTCAGTGACACCATGCAGGATCATGAACACGTGGTGGAATGCAGCCCTTGTGCCCCTGAACCTGCCTGTCACCCAGAGCACCCCTGCCAGCCCAGCCAGGCTGCCTGTTGGTACCTGGCCCTTTGAGGTCCAATGCGGACAATACTGGTCTCTGCAGCCCACCTAGCCAGGAGCACACCCTCTGCCATGTTAGTGTGTTTACACCTTCCTGCAGCTCCCATCACGTTTTCCTCTGTGTTGCTGTTACATCTGATGTTCTTGTCTCTCTCACCGGAGGGGTGCTTCTCGAGGCCAGCACAGTCTCCGAGGCTTCCCATACCCCTCTCCCACTTCAGACAGTACATGGTGGGTGGTTAGTGCGGACCTGTTGCCCCAACCCCCCCGCCTGAGCAGTCGCTGACTAGAGTCGGAGTGCCTCAGTAAGGGGACCGCTCGCTGACCCACACCTGGCGATAACTCTCTCAGGGTCACGTAGGAGGGTTGCTGGGCCTGGACCCTCAGGCCACTGTCTCCATATCCGTCACCCTGGCTATTGAAGGGGCTGCTCTCTAGCCTGGCAGGAAGTGTCACCCTCGTGCACTCACAGATGGTCGGGCAGAGGCAGGAAGGGCAGCCTGCCCCCAAGGCCCTGGCCATGCCAGGAGAAAACAGGAGGCCTGGGTGTTACCCGGTCATGGAGAGTTGCCCACGGCCATGCAGAGCATAATGTCTGGACCAGGCATGAGGACTCTGAGCAGGAGATGAGGAGCACCCATCTGGACAGCAAGGCCCTGCCTGAGCAGCCCTGCTTGTCTCTCCCCTCCTCCCAGCTCCTCCGTGCCTGCTCCCTCCCTCTCTCTCTCCTTCCCCCTCCCCCTCCTCCACCCTTAAACTCTCCGATTCATCAAAGTGAATTGTCTGCCCAGGTTGCAGAGCCTGCAGGTCAGTCCACTTATCTTCCCTGGGGCACTGATCAGGTTTCTTCTTCTGAGAGGACTCTGTTAACTGGGCCTGCGGTTGGTGCGTTGGTGCTGTCGTCCCACTTGGCAGGATTCAAATTGCTCCTCCAGCTGCCACCAAGTGGCCACCACAGATGTGCCTGTCCAGCGAGGGGCGGTCATCACCCGGCACCCCCGGGTAAAAGCCTTCCCTGCTTTTGCCCCCTGCTTCCCCCTGTGGTGGCTGCCCCAACCGTCTGTGCACGCAGCATCTTCTCTTTCGTGGACTGTGTACCGCACATGCTCTTTATCTCCCTCCATCAGTGTCCTTGCTCCTCCCCAAGGACGACAGGTGCCACTCCTCCAGTTTAACAGGGCCCTCCCCAAAGGCCTAGAGTGCTGAAGAGCACCAGTCTTTGAAAGAGCAGCCCCCTTCCCCAATTGGTTTTTATTTTAATTGCCCATGGGCCAGCACCAGCACAGAAATCACATAGGTGCTGTGGGTCGAAGCCCCACCTCCCCTCCAGGCCTGCTCACTTCCCAAGTGTGGGTTCACGGGTGTCATTGTCAGACGACGCACAAGCCTGAATAGGCCCGCACAGGCCTGCCCCTCACAGTGGTTTCAGGCCATGTTGTAAATATGACCATTCCAAGCCCAGGTGGGATGGGGCCTGGGGCTCCCAGGAGAGCAGCCTGAGTGGCTTGGGCACTTAGGAGGGTGAGCAGGGCTGGGGGCGCTTGTGCTTTCTCACAGCAGTAGCCACCTGTGTGGTCTAAGCATCCCGTGAACTTGGAATATGGAGCTGGGGACCCCGTCCTGCCCTGGGAGGGCCCGCAGCCTGGGTTGGGAGCAGGGCGTGCTCTTCCCAAAGGTTAAAGCTACTAACATAGAGTGCGAGTCCACCTGGCAATTCTGGGATGGTACCGAGAGAGAGACACACAGACACGGTGACAGCAAAGCAGGGGTTGTGTGGGGCGGAACCAGGATGGACGGTGGCCTGGGGACTTCCTCTGCTGGAGGTGCTGTCATTGCACCTCATCAAGGCGTGCGCTCACCGCGGGTCGGTGGGTTGTGTGAGTAGGCCACTTAGGAAAGATAAAGCTCCATGAAGCCATTTAAGAGACAGACACAGGCAGGCGAATGCTCAGAGGTGTCACAGAGCAGCACCAGGCATCCCCTGGCTGGTCTCCCCCCAGGAGGGACCCTGCTCCAGACCCTTGTGGAGCACAGAGCACTGAGTGCTTGCCCGAGGCCCATGCAGCCAGCACAGAGGAGCACGGCAGGTGTGGCCTTCCCTCACAGGCTCCCATCGAGCACTAGACAGACAAAAGGAACAGGCAGCTGCACGTGAAAAGTGAAATGTGGCACGCACGCACGCACTGCCGGGAAGGTGTGCGCAGGGGAGCACAGAGCCCGGCCTGGCTGGGCCTGGGATCTGAGGGAGCAGGAGCCAGGCCGCTGCCGTGTCTGACCGAGTGGCGGCCTCTCCCACAGTGACTTCTCAGCCCTTGGCTCCACTTGGCTGGGACAGAGTCTCAGAGGGCATCCCGGCTTGGGCTGGGACCTGTGTCGGGCCTAGCATGGAATTTCCACAGCCACATCTACCGCTCTCGCTGGGCCCAAGGACGGGTGTCTAAACTTGAGCAAGACTGAAGTTTCAGGGTGGTGGCCTCCCCAACAGACAGGGCACCTCTGGGCCAACGGCCCCTCTACCCAGACAGCAACCTGACCCCTGAGCATTCAGGGTTGGCTACTCACTGCAGGCAGCCCCTAGAAAAGGCTGCTCCTTACACCCAAAGCTGCTTCCTTGTACCCCACACGTGGCTCCCAGCTCTGCCTGTGGTCACTCAGGTTCCCTGTCTGCTGGCCCACGGTCTTGCCTAGTGGGGGGGCCCACACTCAGCATTGTACCCTTCTTTGTTTCTGTGGCTGGGTTGGCATGTGGTTTCTTTGGTTTTCCCTTTTCCCCTCTTGTCATATTCTCCTCTGATCATACCAGTTCGAAGACTGGGCCTTGGAGAGCAGGGATGTGGGGGACAACCAACCACCGCCTAGGACACCTGAGCTCACAGCTCCCGGTGGGGTGCGGTGGGGATACTAGTGGAGCTTGGTAGTTCCTCCAAGGCCTGCCAGGTTCCCGAGCACAAGGGTGGCCAGGTAAATGTGGCCCTGAGTTAGGGGGGTGGGCAAGGGAACTGTTTGGAGGGCTGAAAAAGCTGAGTCCAGTTTCCCAGGAAAGGCAGGGAAGTGACACTCGTCTGGGACGGGAAGAGGCAGCAGGGGCTCCTCCCTGGGGGAGCTGCTGCCTTCAGCACTGCACTGAGCCCGCACCTGGCTCCCGCGCCCTGGGCCCGGAAGGTGTGGTTACGAGCACCGGTGCCTCAACCCCCCTCCCAGTGCGCCAGGGGAGTGTCTCATGGCTGGCAGTCACTCACTTCCCTCTCCGGCGACCACTGAGTCTGAGAACGTCCTATTTTCCCGTAATCAAAAGAAGTGAAACTGTCTCGTGAAATAAGGTGGAACGCCCCCAAAACACCTACACAGGCAGGATATTCTCCTTATGAGGTCAAGAGGTCCCTGAGAGCAGCGATGTTCAGCCAGTGTGCTCTGTGGCACCCGGGGGCACCGTGGAGTTTTAGAACACGCACTACCCGACAGTTCAGTCAGGGGCACTGTCCCCTTTCCCCTAGATTGTTAAAAACTGCTGACTCAACAATAGCTGTCTGGTGCGAATGAAATAAAATTTTATCTTTTTTTTTTTGGTCAGATCAGCAAAAATATCTTTTTGGTGTGCCACAGAATTTTAGTTCATAGTTTACTTGTGCCATGAGATGAAAAAGGTTGAAAATCGCTGCCCTGGAGGATGGTGCCCCGCACAGCACAGCACAGCTGACACGGGCGGGGGGGGGGGACATTCCCCGGGGCCGGCCCCCTACCAGCCCCGCTGCCTTCCTGTCCCCCTCACTGCAGTGATCCCCTCTCACCTGTGCCCAGTTTCCTCCTGGGCTCCCAGGTGCAGCCAAGTTGAGAACCACTGACCTTCAGGGACATGCAGCCCCCTTCCCTCTCAACTCCCATTGGGGTGGGGTAGGGGCAGCAGTTAAATATGGACAGGCTAGGCTGGCCCTTGAGTTCTGCTCAGTCCCCTTGTAGGGATGAGACACGAGGAGAAAGTAATAGTAGTTAGGGATGTGGGCGGTTACGAGTACCCAGTGCTTACTGTGTGCCAGGCACGCCCCTAAGGCACCCTAGGCGCGGAGCCGGCCACGGAAGCCAGGGTGCAGCCCTGTGAGTGCACACCTATCACCCCATTTCTCAAAGGGAAAACTGAGGCCCAGTGAGTCAGATTATCCAAGACCACACAGGTAGAAGCTGGCAGACCCACCCTCGTGTGGGGTGATCTGGCTGCTCCCACAGGCTGGCAGCCAGCCGGCATCCTCAGGAGCCCCAGGAGGGGTTTCCGTGGGTTCATGGAGACTGCTGCCAGAGTCAGGAAACTGAGTGTGAGTGTGTGCGTTTGTGCACGCACGCACGGGCACGTGCTGTGATTAAACATGAGAAACCAAGCCTGTCACCCTCCGCTGTTCAGCACTGTATGTGACTAAACATGCCAAACTGCCATTCAGATGTGGCTGCATGCATACGCACGTTGGTGGGAAATGACTTCCGAGCACCATGACACTTGGCCCGAGTGGGACAAGTCCCCCCCGCCCCAGCCTTGTCAGAGGTGCGCTTTCCTGTCCCCTAAGCCGAGGGGACTCTTCCCCACCGCAGACCTGCTTGCCTCCCCGGAGGATGCATTTGGGGGGAAGTGCCGTAGCCAGGGGTCCCTGACATTCATTCTGAGAGAAAGCACCCCTGCCTTCCTTGAAGGAGCATGTGGGTTTTGAGGCAGGGCCTCAGCCGGCCACCTGCCTTGCCATTGGCTGCTGTGTCCAGTGTCCCTGGGAAGCCATCGAGCATGTCCTGACCCCTCAGCTCCCAGGGGTAGGGGATGTGGCATGGCGGGAAGTCTTCCCAGGGCCTCCCCTCCTCTTCCCAGAAGACTCACTGTTACTTCCTTCTGTTCCCCAGTTGGTCAGCGAGAAGGTCGGAGGGGCCGAAGGGACCAAGCTTGACGATGACTTCAAAGAGATGGAGAAGGTAATGGGAGAGGTGGTGCCCTGTCACGTGCCCAGCTCCATTAACCACGTCCCTCATGAGGCCCAGCTGGGGGGGGGCTTATCAGGGTGGCCTAGACAGTAGACAGGTAGCAGGTGTCCTACAGCCCCCAGAGCAGCCCTTAGGAGGGCTGAGACAGACAGGCGGGAACTGGGGGGCAGGGCAAGGGCCATCCCGGGGCCTCGGTTGGACCTTGGGTGTCCCAGGGGTTTGAAACCACACACACTGCCTCTCTTTCCAGAAGGTGGACGTTACCAGCAAGGCTGTGGTGGAAGTGCTGGCCAGAACCATCGAATACCTGCAGCCCAACCCAGGTAGGGGCACCTGCTAGCGGCACGGGATCTGCCCGACTCCCCGTGTCTGTCAGGCGGAGTCTTCTGGTAAAGTGAAAATGCCACTGGTAGGCGTGGCTGGACGCAGGGGTCTGAAGGGTGTTTAGGGGTCACGTACTTCCTTCTGCCTTAAGTCATCTTTGCAGCTGACAGTCCCAGCAGAAAAGAGCATCTTCCCCCTCCCAACTGACCAGGCCAACTTGAATTGGGTGCTCCTCCCTTGTTGGTCAGGCCCCAGTCACACCCCAACCTTTGGAGCATGAGGTAGGGGTCTCCTAGGAAGAGAGGCAAGTAGGGACCTTCCCTCAAGGAAGATCCAAATGCTAGTTCCCATTGAGGGTGGCTGGGGACATGGACAGGCAGCAAACCGAGGCATGTCCATTCAAGGCCTACACCAGGGACACACCCATGTGGGTGAAGTAAGTGGACTTTGGGGGAGGGGGGCACCCAGGGCAGAGGGAGGCAGCCAGCAGCAAGGGCCAAGTGCGGGCCCAGTGGCTTTGGGAGTGCCCACCCATGTGCCCACCAGCCCATTCTGTTCCAGCCTCAAGGGCCAAGCTGACGATGCTCAACACGGTGTCCAAGATCCGCGGGCAGGTGAAGAACCCTGGCTATCCGCAGTCGGAGGGCCTGCTGGGCGAGTGCATGATCCGCCACGGGAAGGAGCTGGGTGGCGAGTCCAACTTTGGTGAGGTTGCCACAGGGACCTCGGGCCTCGGCAGGGTGGCACGGGCAGGTGGCCAGGCTGAGGGAAGGAAGGCCACAGCTTCCCCACACTGGTGAGCAGGAGGGTGCCTTGCTTCCATGGCTCTAGAATCTTCTCTGGTGCTGGCTGGTTCCTGGATGTAGGCAACAGCAGCTCCTGAGAGAGCCCTTGTGTGCCCAGGGGTGTGTCACTCCCAGGGGTGAGGGAGGGTCCCAGCACTGCCAGCAGTGTCAAGGCCAAGGGCGGGCCCCGCTCACACCACAGCTGGTTCAGGGCAAATTTGCTTCCTTCTAAGAGTGGAAGGGCGTGTTGTTTTGACACCTGTAGTGTCAGATTCAGACTTGATGGTCTGTTGCTCTGAATTGTGGTCCAAGTCCTGCCTGTGGAGTCAGTTTAGAGGTTGGGGGTGTCTTGGCATCTCAGACCAAGGCCTCCTGTGACAGCGTCTCCCCTACCCCCACCTCTTTCACAGGCGATGCCCTGCTGGATGCAGGGGAGTCCATGAAGTGCCTGGCTGAGGTGAAGGACGCCCTGGATATAGAGGTCAAGCAGAACTTCATCGATCCCCTCCAGAACCTGTGCGACAAAGACCTCAAGGAGATCCAGGTAGGCCTTGACGCCTGTCTTGTATGCCCACTTCCCAGTACAGCCCTCGGGGATCCCTCCTGGGTCCATCACTGGACAGTGAGCCCCTCCCCATCCCCGGCTCCAGCTTGGCCCACCTCCGCACATACTTGCAGCAAGAAGGGCCGCGGGGCGTTGGGTGGCCCTGCAGTGTAACCCTTGTCCCTGCCCCCAGCACCACCTGAAGAAGCTGGAGGGGCGCCGCCTGGACTTTGACTACAAGAAGAAGAGGCAGGGCAAGATCCCCGACGAGGAGCTGCGCCAGGCCCTGGAGAAGTTTGAAGAGTCCAAGGAGGTGGCTGAGACCAGCATGCACAACCTCCTGGAGACTGACGTATGTCCATGCGTCCAGGGCCCAGGGGCCACACTTGGGGAACTCCTAAAATGGGTCCAGCAGGGGTGCTAGCTTCCAGAGGCTCAGGGCCGGTTTACAGGGTGGAGGAAATGAAGGTCGAACAATGACCAGAGCGGGGCGTACTGAGGCTTTCACCCTTCACCCTTGCTGCAGCTCACAGGGTGGCCAGGACCCTGCCTGGAACAGTGTGGGAAGGCTCCTCGCAGGAGGTAGCCTGGAGGTGGGGGCTAGAGGAGAGCCCCCTCTCCAGCTCTGACTGGTCGTTTGCAGATTGAGCAGGTGAGCCAGCTCTCTGCCCTGGTGGACGCCCAGCTGGAGTACCACCGGCAGGCCGTGCAGATTCTGGACGAGCTGGCCAGCAAGCTCAAGCGAAGGTGAGCCCCTCCTCTCTCTGTGCTGGCTAAGAAGTGCCTCGTGGCTGTGGGGGTCCCTGGAGACCTGGAGTCCCTGCTGAGCATTCCTGGGCTGGCCCCCGATAGCCCAGCCCTGTCCAGAGCCTGGGGGCTGGCTCTTACTAAACAAGCTCCAGGCTGTGAGGGTGGGAGTGGGGGCTGGTCCTGGTCTCTGAAGGACAGGACTGGAGTGGCCTGAGGACTGGACGGCAGCGCTTCTCTGGTGGGACCGGAGGGGCTTTAGCAGCACCCAGCCCATTACTGGCAACCCGAAAAATGCTCGAGTCTGGCATTCGGGCCCAGGGTGCCCCCTAGGGTTCCCCTGTGTGTGGTGTCCACCTCACAGCCTCCCCAGGGCCCCACTGCTCACAGGGAAGCAACAGAGACGGTGGGCGGGGCTGTTCTCTGGCCCTGACGCCCCGGCTCACGACACAGGCTCTGTCTCCCCTCGTGTCTCTCCCTTTGTGCGCAGGATGCGGGAAGCCTCTGCGCGCCCCAAGCGCGAGTACAAGCCCAAGCCCCGGGAGACCTTCGACCTCGGAGAGCCTGAGCAGTCCAACGGGGGCTTCCCCTGTGCGCCAGCCCCCAAGATTACAGGTGAGGAGCAGGGGGTCCCAGGGCCTCGGAAATGGGCCCCTTCTGCAGCAGCCCCCAGCCCCCTCCAAATGGTACGGCCTGGTGCCTCCTGCCTACCCACTCACCCTCTGTGAAAGGGGCCCCACCCCAACACTCTGAGCACACCATGTGTTTTGTCTACAAGCAGCTTCGTCATCTTTCCGATCCTCCGACAAGCCCACCCGGACCCCCAGCAGGAGCATGCGTGAGTGTCCCCCTGCCTCAGTTTACACCAGTGCCTGCCAGTCTGCTCCAGAAAGGTCTTGCTAACTCCCCTTCTCTGGTAGAAGTGGGCACCCCTGTGGTTGGTCCTCAGCCCCTCTTAAGCAGGGAAGGAGCTGAGTGGCAAGGCCCTGCCTCTGCGGCCTCCACCTCCCCATGCTAAAGAGGGGTTGCTGTGCGCGCCCGGGCACCCCTGGCCCTGGGCTCTGGGCGAGGCACACTGAGGGCAGTGGGCTCCAGCCGTCCTGTCATCTTTGTGCCACAGAACGTTTCTAGCTCTTCCCACTCACAAGCCTTTTCCATCCTTCTTGTCACTTCTTATTCCCAATATCCATGGGGAGCAAGAGGAAGGAGCAGCTCTCCTTAGGGGAAGCTGAGGCACCGCGAGGCAGCAGGAGCTGGTGGGGTCTCATCTGGACACCCAGACCTTACACCCATCCCCTGCCCACCCACAGCACCCCTGGACCAGCCAAGCTGCAAAGCACTGTACGACTTTGAGCCCGAGAATGACGGGGAGCTGGGCTTCCACGAGGGTGACATCATCACGCTGACCAACCAGATTGACGAGAACTGGTACGAGGGCATGCTCCATGGCCAGTCGGGCTTCTTTCCCCTCAGCTATGTGGAAGTGCTGGTGCCCCTGCCTCAGTGACAGCGGCGGCCCGCCCGCCCCTCTGTCCAGATCACCTGTGTCCCACGTGGCCCAGCGTCCCAGGGCAGTGCTCCTCCCAGGGCACCAGGGACTTGGGGCAGCAGGTCCAGTGGGGGGCCGGGGCCTGTTTACACTAGTGCTCACCCACAGTGGTGGTGGGGCCTCCCCTTTCCACTGCCCTGCGGGGCTAACACTAAGGTGCTCTTAGAAACACTAACTTCCTCCCACTCCCCCCAGGACTGGCAACTCTAGGTGGGCCCCTCCACTCAGAACACATACACACACCCTCTGTCCTGTCCACGCTGGGGCTTGGCCCACCCTGACCTGCCCTTACTGGGAGCAAATTGAAAGTCTGTGAGACAGGGTGATCCAAGCAGGACCCCTGGCTGATGCTCGCCACCTGCTTTTAAATTCCCCTAAGATACTCCTTCTCAGGCTCCTGCACACCCCCAGATGCCACCTCCACAGGAGGGCCTCACCCTTAAGGATAGGCAGGCCCTCTCCTCAGCTGTAGGGTGCAGAGCCCCACATACTGTGCCCACCACCTCATCCTCAGTCCCCTCAGTGCCCATCTGTAGGGTGCCCTACCCCCAGCCAAGCACACGGAACGTTTCTCTCCGGCACAAGCTGCTACCACCAGCTACGCACACACACTCTTAACTCACCACACACGGGACCACGGGAGCCCCCAGCTTCCTCTCTGCTGAAGGTCAAGCACAAAAGCTTCGATGAGTGAATGTTCCCAGACCCCTGGCTGCTGGGGCCATCCTGGGGGGGGTGTCACAGGCCCTCCCACACCCCAGGCTGGCCACCCGCTCCCCCTGCTGTTGACAGTGTCCCCAGCTGTCTCCTTTAGGCCAAGGTAGGCCACTGCCCAGACCAGCAGGCCCCAGCCATGCATCCACTTCCCCTCTCGCCTGATCTGAAATTGGCTTAATGGGGGGAACCTCTGGCCTGGTTCACATTCCCTTCCTTCAGTGACCCTGCACAGCCCCCAGGACATAAGACTCTGCTCCTTCCCAAGGCCTCTCACTGCCGTGAGTGGGAGAGACCCAGGCATCCGGACCAAGACAAGCAGTATGGCCTTGGTCACAATCTAGGGCGGACGGAAATGTAATCTTGATTTTTAAAAGAAAAAGTATTAAACGTCTCTTTCTACAGTCTCTTGCCTGGTTGTAGTGCAGAACAGGTCTTCTGCTCATCCGGACACCCACGGCCCTCCCGAGGGGACCCCGGTCAGGACGGGACCCATGCGGCTACCCACCCCCAGAGCCATCCTAGGGTGGGCACAGGCCTCACAATGAGCCCAGGAAGGGTGACTGTCATTACCTAGTCACTCGCACAGGAGGTATGTCCCTAGGAGTCCCCTTCCCACAGCCCCAGAAGGGGTGAAGCTGGGGTCGGGCCCCGCTGCCCGGGCAGCAGCCTGTGTGCCCAGCAGCAAATGCTGGGGGACCCCCACTCAGGATGAGACCGGTGCCTGGGCTGTTTCTTTATTGTATAAGCCCCTGCCACCACATCAGTCACAGGAATGGAGCAACGCAGTCGCAGACGAACCCCCAAATCCTGTCCCCCTCACCCAGAGCTGCCGAGAGTTGGGGGAGGGGCTCCGAGTCTGACCAGGAGGCCCCCCCCCCCGGTCCTCAGACGCCTTGCTTGAGGACGCTGCACACCTGCTCCAGCACGTGGCACAGGCCCTGGTCCTTGGGCATCCTGCCGGCCAGGGAGATCTGAAACGGGCAGTGCCGGCGCCTCAGGACTCTGCCCAGCAGTCGGGGCCCGGCCTTGTGCTGCCCCCCACCCGACTCCTGACCCTGAGGCCCCAGTGCTGCCCCTGGCAGAGAGAGGGCTTGCCTGACCGAGGTCCACAGTGGTGTCTGAAACAGCACTTTCTCTTTACCAAGAGCGTTGAGTAATTTGAGGCCCCGCTGACTAACGTTTGGGGTGAGGGGGTTACCTGCATTTTCCAGATCCTGCTCTCACCCCAGCCCAGATCCCACACACACCAAATGCCAGGAACCACCCGGCTCCAGCGCCTCCAGAGACAGTGGGTGTTCCCCTCCACCCAGCAGCCCAGCGCCTGAGTGGGTGGTGGCCAGGGGCAACCTCAGGCCCAGGTCACAGTTTTCTTTAAGTTTCACCCAAACAGGCAAACATGTGAAACTGTTTCTCTGCAAAGCAGAGCTGAGAGTGTCTTAAGAGAACGATTTTCAAGCAGGGGAGAAACCAGACACACAGGAGGCCGCCAAAACCTCACTTAAGTGTCCCACTACCTGTGGGGCCGGCTCGCACAACCCACCCGCCCAGCTGCTCTGAAGGCTGAGCCGGGTCAGGCCCCTCCCACGCCCTCTGCTGGTGGCAGGGGGAAGAGGTGGGCTCCAGAGCAGCTTCCCGGACTGTTTGACCGCGATTTTTCCCCCACCCCCATCTCCGTGTGATAAAACAAGGCTTTCTCCAGTGTTAATTTCCAGTTGAAATATTTCGTACAGAACGAGTTAGGAAATGCCGTTTCTCGGGCCACCCGTGGGTTCATCTGGAGGCTCCCTGAGAACTGTCCTCCTACGGTAGGGGCTCAGGCGGGACTCGGGGCAGGGGTCTCACCTTCAGCTTGTCGAGGCAGGTGTGCTCTGGGTCCCAGGGCTCCTGGAACCGCACCGCGTCCGGGGCACCCTTGTAGAACTCCACCAGCAGCGCCTACGGGGCAAGGTGTGGTTGGGGCCCCGGCCCCCCTGCACCAGACCCTGAGGGTCCAGCAGGACAGGCACTGCCACCACCTGTCAGGACAGCTTCCAGGCTAATGCAACAGGTAGACTACCACTCACCAAGAAAGACCACCAAGCAGTGTGACCCAGCAGAGAGAGGGGAGCTCTGCAGGAGGCCTCCGGAGAGGGAATGCCCCCGGAAGTCACGCGAATGTGATTGTTTACCTCACACAGGCCTGGTGTGAGCTCCCTACTCCAGCCTCATCAGGTGATACCCATGAAATCACAGGTGTAGTGAACTAGCTCAGTGTTTTAAATGCCTGTTGAGCCACACGCACTATAAACCATCCAGGTAACACCTGAAGTCCTCCACGTGTCTCCAGTTGGAGAAGCAGTGGCAGGTACCTCTGCATCTGAGGTGGAAGCATCCCTAGCATGTTCCAGAACAACTAGGTGGCCAAGTAGGTGAGCAAGTGGATGAGGGAGGAGCCGCCACAGGACCTGGGACTGGATCCTAAGAGCCACAGGTGATTTTCTTGAGAAGAGGAAGCTGACCAGGGCCCTAGAGTGGCACGTTCAGCCACGGCTCCCTGAGTCTGAGCTTGTGCATCCAGCTAAGCACTTTTAGCTCCCACCTGTCCCTCGGGGGGAAGGGCACCCACCCTACCCGGGAGTGAGCTCACCATCTCATGAAGGATGTCATTAGTGAGGAAGCTGTCCTGGACATAGGCCATCTCCACGTCCATAGGGATGCCGTAGTCACTGGGCCTTTGCTGACAGGGACACCAGCCAGTCACCACCTGCCACCCCCAGCTTCTTACCCATGACCCATACCCCACACATTGGCCCGCAGCCACCCCCCCCCAGGAGCGCTGCCTACCTCAGGGGGTGGCATCACCCAGAAGGGGGAGATCTTGGACTCGGGGCCCGGGTTGCCAGAGTAGTAAGGGGCTGCAGGGGGGGGGAGAGTGCGAGAGGGGGCTGGGCCTGGGGAGCTCGTACTCCGGGAGTAAGACACAGGCAGGCCCACCCACACCCCCCAGCCCCCCAGCCAGGGCCTCACAGCAGAGCAGGGCAAGGCAGGGCTGGAAGCCATTGCTGGAGCCCTGCAGCCGCAGCTGGTAGTCCATCTGTGTGTCGATGTCCTGCAGCGACGGCAGTGCCGGGCTGTGCGGGTGGCTGTGGTACCAGCCCACCAGGGACAGGCCGCGCAGGAGCAGGCTCTGGTAGATCTGGGGGCAGAGACAGGGCTGGGGCAGATGGGGGGCCAGGGGCCCTACCAGCCTCGGGGTGCTCCCACCACTCCCTGCAGCCAGCACTCCTGGCACCTACCCAGCCCTGTGTGCGGCAACACATGATGAGGACCTGCTGTGTACCAGGCCTGGGGACGCAGCGATGACCCAGACCGACCCTGCCCCCCACCCTAACAGAGTCCAGTGGGGGGAGAACCACCAAACACTTTAAAAATATGGACCTGTGGGGACTTCCGCCAAGATGGAGGCATAGGTGGATGTGCCGTGCCTTCTCACACAACCAAGTTTAGAGACAACTAAATATTAGCAACAGAAAACACAGCCAGAACACGGAAAATTGAACTTTTCGGAAGTTTGTTAACGACAAATTCTTCAGTCTGACCGGTAAGGGGCGAAACCAGCAGCTGGTAGAGCGGGGTTGCACAGGAAAACTCGGTCAGACGGACTCAGGCGCACGGAATCCAGGCGCAGGGTTGGACCGAGTGAGCGACCAAGCGAGCAACCTCGGGGGAGACAGCGGGGGAGCGGGGCTGCGTGTTGACTGTGGTCGTGCATTTAGGCACCGGCGGACAGGCGAGGGAGTGGGCGTTTGGACCGGGGCCGGCGGGTCCCCGCGGCAAGCGGCAGTGGAGGGCACCGCCCTTTCCCCGCTCTGACCCCACCTCCACATACAGCGTCATAACCCAGCGACTCTGAGTGGCCCGGCCCAGGTGAACCACCTAAGCCTCTGCTCCTCACCCAGCTGTGAGAAACAGCAGGGGGGTCCGCCATTTCCCCGCTCTGACCACGCCCCCACATAAGCGTCACAACCCAGCCACCTGGGAGTCCAAGGCTCCGCTCCTCAACGGGAGCAAACAGACCAAAAATGGCTCAAGAAGATCTCAAAGCCCCAGAGCCTATAAATCTAAGCAATGAAGAAATAGTAAAACTCTCAGACGCACAGTTAAAACACTGGTGATCAGGATGCTCACAGAACTGGTTTGATTATAGCCACAAATTAGACAAATATATGAAGGCGAAACTAATTGAAATGAATGGAATTGCACAGGAAACCAATAGCTATAGAAAGGAAACTGGGACTCAAACCAATGGAGTGGACCAGAAGAAAGCAAATAATGGCCAAACAGAAAAGAGTGAAGAAGCAAGAATTCAAAAAAATGAGGAAAGTCTTAGGAACCTCCAGGACATCTTTAAACGCTCCAACATCCGAATTATAGGGGTACCAGGAGGGGGAAAGGAACAGCCACCAGTGGAAAACTTATTTGAACAAATAATAAAGGAGAATTTCCCCAATCTGGCAAAGGAAATAGACTTCCAGGAAATCCAGGAAGCTCAGAGAGTACCAAAGAAGTTGGACCCAAGAAGGAACACACCAAGGCACATCATAATTAAATTAGCCAAAATTAAAATGAAGGAGAGAATCCTAGAAGCAGCAAGAGCTAAGGGGACAGTCACCTACAAAGGAGTCCCCAACAGACTGTCAGCAGATTTCTCAAAAGAGACCTTACAGGCAAGAAGGGGCTGGAAAGAGGTATTCCAAGTCATGAAATCCAAAGACCTACAACCAAGATTGCTCTATCCAGCAAAACTTTCATTTAGAATGGAAGGACAGATAAAGTGCTTCTCAGATAAGATCAAATTCAAGGAGTTCATCATCACCAAACCCTTATTATATGAAATGTTAAGGGACTTATCTAAGAAAAAGAAGTTAAAGAAACATGAACAGTGAAAGGACAACAAACTCAACAGTTATTAACAACCACACCTAAAATAAAAGCAAACTAAGAGGACAGCTAGATCAGGAGTGAACCATAGAAATGAAGATCTCAAGGAGGGTTAGCAACAGGGGAGTAGGAGGAGGAGAAGGGGGGAGAAGGTACAGAAAATAAGTAGCATAGACAGTAGATAGAAAATAGATGGGGGGGCAAGAATAGTAGGGGAAATATAGAATCTAAAGAACTTGAGACACATGGACATAAACTAAAGGGGGGGGTAATGGTGGGGATGGAGGGGTAGGGTGGAGGGGAATGAAGGGGGGGAATAGAACAACTGTAATGGCATAATTAATTTAAAAAATTTAAAAGATATATATATATATGGACCTGTCATGTAGCAAAGGCAAAATCTTTTGTTCCCTGCTGTGTCCCTGGCTCATGGAACAATGTCTGGCACACGGCAGATGCTCAGTAAACAAGAGACAGGTGGGCTGTGTGCAGGTGAGCAGCACAGGCACTCTCGGATGCCTACGGCAGGTGTAGGCCAGCGAGGACAGAAAAAGGCCCTTTCTCACTGGACATCGTGCACTCACCCATCCCCGAGGGACACAGATGGGGCCACGAAGAGATGGAGGTGGAGTGCTGAGCACGGCGCCAGATGCACACCAAGAACCATTAGGAAAGTACTTTTAAAAGTGGCAGTTGTTATTATGCGGCCTTTACTAGGTGCCAGGAGGGGACAGGGGCTCATACACATACATTTGTATATGTTCCAAGCACCGACTCTGCTAGCTGCCAGGACAGCTGTGTCCACCCCAGCCCACCCAGTGTGTCCCCTCACCTCCTCTTCCATGGCGGCTGCAGCATCCACGTCCCCCAGCCGGCTGCGACAGGGGAAGGCTCTCAGCACAGTGAGCACTGCACGGAGCGGGAAGAAGGCGTGGACATCAACCCTGGCCCCTGACATCCCGCTGCCCACCCCAGCCCCAAATACCCACTCTGGCTGTTGATGTCCCAGCGTCCCCCCAGGTACCCCACGACCTCGCTGCGAGTTAGGTGGCTGTGGAAGTCCTGGGGAAGAGGTGCATCAGAAGACATGCTCAGGCCTCAGCTGACCCCAGCTCCATCCTGGGGACCCAGGGCCCTCATAATGGGCAGGGGCCAGCCCTCCCCCTCCTCCATTCAAACATCGACTGAGTACCTATGAGGAGACAAGGTCCCCACCCACACGGAGCTGATGTTCCAGGGACGGGATGCCCCTCCCCAGGGCACCCCAGCTCTCTGCTCAGGCGTGGGAGCCCCTGGCCCACAAGAGACAAGGTAGGACACACCAGCAGGAACAGCGCGTTGCTGGAGATGGCCACGTTGAATGGCTGGAACTTATTGACGGCTGCAAACGATGTTACTTCCACCAGGGTGTGGGGGTTCCTGTAGGAGCCAGTGGGTCCCACAGCTTCCAGAACACCCAGGCTGGCTCCTCAGCCCACCCTGCCTCCAGCCAGCTCTGAGGATGCGAGGCCTTGTCCCCACCCTACTCCTGCCCTTTCTCCCCTCTCCACCCACCCTTGCAGGAGCTCGTGTGAACAGGGGGTGGGTGCAGTGGGCAGGGGGCCCGCCTGACCTGGCAGAGTCTCGACTGCCCAACATGCAGTATCGCACTGGCGTCCGGGTCTTGCTTTCCACTCGCTTCCCCAGGGGTGCAGCCTCTGCCAAGCGAGGGTAAGGAAGAAAGGCCAGTGTCAGCCCTCCCAGCCCAGGGACTGGAAAGCAAAGACAGGGCAACCCAAGAAAGGGGGGTGGTGGGGAAAGAACCAAGAAAGAAAAATAAGGCAGCAGGCCTGGGAAATTAGGCAGCAGGTTGACAAGTTGGACTGACATTTAAAACCAGATGAAGGACTCAGGAAATCAGGTGAGGATCTCAGAAAAGCAGGTGAGGAGAGAGTGGGGCACAGGGTGGGGAGGAGGGGGATTAGCGAGCTTAGAAGTCAGGCAACAGGATGAAGAAATCCCATTGGGGAGCAGGGAAATCAGGCAGCATGGTGAAGAAATCGGGTAGCATATTAAGAAATTGGGCAACGGAAGCAAGAGATCCAGCGTTAGAGCTGAAGTCAAGCAGTGAAATCGGGAGCTAGGAAGTCAGCCATGCATCTTGGGGGTGCTGAGGAGAGGCCAGACCTGCCCCAGCCTCCTCCGGGATTCTGCACGCCTCCTGCCCTGCCTCCTCCCCTCCCTCATGCCTCTCACCGGCGTGGGCAGGCTCTGAGGGGCCCTTCACAGGTGGTCTTCGACTTTTGTCCTCCGCTGAGACCCCTGCCAGAACTTCCTCCTCCTCTTCCTCCATCAGCAGATCCTCCTCCTCCCCTTCGCTGGCCGGGCTCTGGCAGAGTAGGAGTGAGCACAGTGGCTAGACCTTCAGCTGACTGCACCCCACCCTCCCAAGTTCCACCTGGGCCCACCCAAGTGTTAGGTCTCTGTTGCCCTGGGCGTCCACCAGAGGGAGGGAGTGAGGAGAAGCGGCCCAAGGCTCTGGCACAGCCCGGGTCTGAACCCCTCCAGGTGGCTGACTCTCTGGTTCGAATCCTGGACAAGCCGTGTGACTAGGCAAGCACCCTAACCTCTCTGAGCTCTGTGGTCACCTACAAAATGCTACAGTGACCTCTAGCCCAATAGAGTCGGTGTCAGGGTGAAATAGGTTAACACATGCAAAGAATTTACCTATGCCCTTTGCTCCATCCACTGAGCAAGCATGTACCTTGCATGAATTCTTGTATTAAGTTCTCTCAACAACCTCTCCCCTTGCTCTCTCCTAAACTTCTCTGTGTCTAAACCCAACACTCGCATCCCAGTCTCTCCTCCTTCCCCTCCCAGCAGCATCTGACCCAGCTGGTTACTCTGACCTCTTGGCAACTCCTCAGGGGCCTGAACTCACCCAGCTTCCCTGCCCCCCTCCAGGGTTCCCTTGGCCTCCCCATCTCTCTCTTGTGGCCTAGGGCTGTCTTCTGGGGCACCTTCCATCAGGATAGAACAGTCCACTCTTGGGGCTCCAACCCTGCCTATGCCCCAGTGAAACCACAGTCCTGTCTCCATCCTGAGGCTCTCCTGAGCTGTAGACTCGGGGTCCAGCTGCCCCTCAATGGCCCCACATGAGGGGCTCACACCTAATATAGCCACGATGCACCCAACTGTCCCTTCCAACCTGTTCCTCCCAAATCCCCACATCTCTGATGAGAGCAACCCCATCCACCAACTTGCTCAGAACAAAATTCTTAACACTAACATCTAATCTATCAGCAAATACCACCAGGTCCTACTTGCAAAATTAGCCAGAATCTAAGCAGTTCTCCTCCACCTCAATGGCAGGCCTGGTAGTCTGGTCCTGCACTGTCCTTCCTCAGTCAGTCTTCTCCAAAGCAGCCAGAAGAGGGCGCCTGTGAGCACCCAAGTGAGGGCCTATCCCTCCTGCCGACAAGCCTCCAGGCCTTCCACCCCCCTCTGGTAAAAGGCAATATCCCCCCAGCAGCACACAGGCCCTGCTGACCTACCCCATCCCCGCCCTGCCTTCACCTCCTCCCTCTCACCCCCTCGCTCACTTTTCCTCCAGCCATGGGGCTTAGCCTCCTCCAAGCTCCTCCAAGCTCCTCCAATAGCCACAGACAATCCAGCCTCAGGGACTTTGCACATGCAGTTTTCCAGATACCCTCAGGGCTCTCTCCTTCCTTCCCCTCCTTTGGTCTTTGCTCACATGACACCTTCTCAGTGACCCTTACTTGATCACCCTATTGCTCCACCCCCCCCAATGCTCACCCATCCTCCAGAAATACTATAAAATGGACTTACTCTCTTTCTTTGTCTGCCTCCCCATGAGGGCAGTTAATTTTTCTTCTCTGTTCTCTCCAGCACCTAGAGGTGGCATTTACTAAATGTTTGCTGAGTAAATGGCCCTATGATACAATGTGAAGGCTAGTTCTGGGTGTCATCTTGGCTGGGCTCTGCTACCTGTTTATTTAATCTAAGACTAATCTAGGTGTTGCCATGAAGGCATCTGGTAGATGCACTTCACACTGATAATAAACTGACTTCCAGTGGAGGATAATGTGGGTGGGTATCATCCCATCAGTTGAAAACCCTTAACGGCAAAAACTGAGGTTTCCCAGAAAAGAAGGAATTCTGCCTCAAGAGTGCAGCACCAACTCCTGTCTGAGTTTCCAGCCTGCCAGTGGCCCTACAGATTTCAGACTTTCCAGCTAGATATATACACATATATTGCATCTATCTAAATATGTATAATACATATAGCACTGTTATCATTTCCACTTTACAGATGGTGAAGACTGAGGACCCAAAGAGGGTCCTTGGCCAAGTTCACCCAGCTGGTGACCATTCAAGGAACATCTGTTAGTATCAAGACCTTTCCAGATATGGTCCAGCACCCTCTGCTACCCAACACATCTGAACCCCTGGCTGCATCTGCTAATCATGGTTCCCTAAGCAGCATGTGTTGCTTCGTGCCTGTATGGTTTGGCATTGACCATTCCCTCTCTCTGAAAAGCTCTTCCCTTCATGTCACAAACTCCTACTCATTCCTCAAGGCCCCAGCTCCAATGTCCTCTCTGTGGGCACTCCTCTCTGATAATTAGTCACAGGGGACTTAATCCAGGAGGCTGAAGGACGCACCTCCTCGGCAGTAGCTGCAGGCACATGGAGCTGGTGCCGCCGGAGCCAGGCAGCCTTGTATTTGTCCAGTTTCTGGCCCTTGTACTTGACAGAGGCCCAGCCACAGCCCGACTTCTTGGCTGGGTTCACCAGCTTCTTGCAGTGGGTGGCCCAGGCGCTGGGTGAGTTGAACACCTGCCCGGTTTCCTGCCACACAATCCTCCCATCTGGCTGCAGGTCCCCCATGAATTTCTTCCCCTGCAGTGACAATGGAAGGGGAAGGACCTGGTACCCACCAAGCCCACCTCCAGGAAGTCCTCCCTGATCCCATGCTGTTTCCAGGCTTAGCACACACTTCCCACTTCACCACCCCTTCCAGGAAGCTTTCCATCTCAGGTGCCTCCCAATAACTGTATGTCTGCTGTCACAGTCCTGATCCACTTGGAACAAGCCCGCCCAACTGTATGTCTATCCTCCCTTCCCCCTCACTGCACTGAGCCCATAAAGGGTAGGGACAGGGTCTGTCCTGATCACTGCTGTGTCCCTAATACCCAACAAAGAGCCTGGTACACACCAGGTGTTCAATTTACAAACCACATCATTCACGAACTGAACAACGACAGTAACAATAATAGTAATAACAGCAAACACAAAGCACTTACTGTGTAGCAGGCACCTTGCTGAGCGTGTTATTCATTTAATCTTCATACAACCCCATGGGAGAAAAAAAAAATCCCATTTTCCGAACGCGGAAACTAGGATACTAGGATACTGAGAGGTTAAGTGAGGTCACACAGCCAAGAAAGCAGTGGCAGCCTCTGAGCCTGTTTCTTCTTTGTAGAATTGGGTATTTGGTGAATGATGTCCTTGAGCCTTTCTGGGCACGTGCTGGGTCTGGATGCTCCGTGCCTCAGTTTCCCCTCCCCGTTCCCAGGCTCCGCTTGCTGCAAGGAAGCTCTGGGCCTCAGTGTTCCCTTCTTTCCCCAGCCAGGATGGGAAGGGAGGTGGGGAGTGCTCACCAGGTAGTAGATAGACAGCACCCCAGCGCCGGGCTCCAGCTGTGCGTCTTTGAGGAGCACCCTCAGTGTTACCGAGCGCCTGGTGAGCGCGCCCCCCGGCCCGACACAGCCCCCAGCTCCGGCTCCGCCACTGACTCCACCGCCGCCGCCGCCGCGCGCTCCGCTCGCTCCCGCCGGCCGCTCAGGGTCTTCGGCCTCCGCCTCATCCTCGTCCTCATCCGGCGCCTCCTCGCCCGCGGCGCCCGCGGGGGAGAGCGACTCTGGAGCTGCGGACAACGACAGGCTGCAGCAGGGCCACGCGCCCCTGGTCGGTCCAGTCACCCCGCCCAGCGCCTTGCCAACTCTCGGACAGCCCCGCGGTACCTGCCATGGCTGCTCCAACCCCTTGCCCCGCTTGTTCTTTCTTCCAGGCACGTGACTCGGCTCCGCCTCAAATAGGGACGCCCCAGCCATTGGCCACTGTGGGTGGGCAGGTTGGAGGCTCGGCCCGCTGGTACAAGCAGGGAAACTGAGGCCCGGGACTGCATATTTGGGAGTGGGAGTCCGGGGCTGAGCCCCACCCCGGGGCCATTCAGGAAACTGAGGCCTGAAGCCACTCTCCGTGGGAGGGGGATGGTAACAGAGATCTCACAGGTACAATGGAGAAACTGAGGCGCAGGACTTCTGCTTTGAGGGAACTTAGTGGCTCCACCCGGAGGCTACCTCGCAGGGCTGTCCAATCTTTTGGTTTTTCTGGGCCACGCTGGAAGAAGAGTTGTCTTGGGCTACACATTAAGTACAAACACTAACAAAAGCTGATAAGCAAAAAAAAGGTTTTAAGTAAATTTACGATTTTGTGTTGGACCGCTTACTAATCATCCTGGACCCCATGCAACCTGCGGGCCGCAGGTTGGGCACCTCTATCAGGACTGAGGCCTGGAACTGGGGGGTGCAGGGGTTCGGCCCTCTAGAACGAAGGGGAAAACAGAGGTCCGTGGACGCCTTTCTTGAGGGACACAGAGGTCTCGGCAGCAGGGATGGAAAAACTGAAGCCCGAAATAACAAACCACTAAGCCCTGGGGCTGCAGGGCAGAATGAAGAAGCCACTCCATTCTGCGAGTCTAATTTACCCAAGCCCACTACAATCTCTTAAGGGTTAATTTCCACTCTTTCAGTGAAAGACTGATTGATACCACTATTGGGCTAGAGCGGTGTACACCAATCAATTATCGGAGGTTTATTTCATCTCAACCAATAAACAGTAGTCATTTGATTCCTTCTAGCCAATCAATGTTAAACTTGCTTCCGCCCCACTCCGACTGAGGCAAAGGGCAGCCACCGCCCTCGACCAATCATCAGGAGCCCCTGGCCTAACTCACCCAATCAGCTGTAGGGTTTGGTCCTCAGCTGTCCCCTCAGCTACTGAATCAAAACCCGCACCTTGGGCGTGGGGCGGTCCCACCCTTCAAGCTGGAGGACACGTGGGCGGGGCCTGGCTGGGTGTGCGTCAGTTGGCTGCAGCCCTGTTCTTTGTCCCAGTTCTCCGTTCTGGGACCTTTGCTCCATGACGCAGTGCACCGGGTCTCCCCAGCCCCTGTCTGGACTAAAATCCCGGGGTGGGGCTCCCCCAAGCTGCGGGGAGCCACTGACTGGGTTCAGCCGCGGATAGGTTTACCCGGACCCCAGCTGGAAGAGGGGACAGGACATGGGGGCCCGGGTGTCCAGCCAGGGTGGTGTGGACTCTAATTCCTGCTGCACCATTGCGAAGCTCTGTGACTGTGGCCATCTGTCTGCCACCTGTTTTCCCCGTGGGGATAATAATAATTTCATTTCAGGGTTAAGGATCAGGGCTTGACATACTGTACGAGCTGGATAAATGTGAATTATTCTTTTTGTTCCGCCCTGGCCTCCTTTTGGAGTGCCCCCCACCACCTACCACGGGTTCTTCCACCAGTTTGGCAACCCCCTTCTCCCCAAACCCTAGCTTCAGTTTATTCCCTCATGTCCTTGTCCACTTTCCCTTCAATGACCTTCCAAAACCTAGCGCCGCCAGACCTCTCCTGCCTGGACCTCAGGCGGGAGAGGCCTTGCCATCTCTTGGGCCTTGCCATCAGGCCTTGCCATCTCTTTGGGCCTCAGGTCTCCATAGTCACCCCCCACCCCAACCCCTCCGTCCATCTTCCACCCTGGCCTCAGAGACCAACTATGCCTCTATGATCACCTCCCTCCCCTATTCTAACCCCTTTAATGGCTACCCATTACTTTTGATAAATAAAATGAAAACTAACTGCTGTGACATTATTAACCATTTATGACACTCCTTTACGGCAGGTATTGTTACCAACTTTATTAGATAATTCAAGATAAACAGGTTGCCCAAAGTTACACAGGCCTCCAGTGGATTCCAAAGGCTATGTTTGGCTATGTGCATAAAGTCCAAGCAAGCAGCCTCATCCTATAACTATTAAGGACAGTGAATGTGCAATTTTAAAACTCCCCAAAAAAGAATTCTCCAGGTCCAGATGAAGAATGCTACCAAAGGCTCAAAGAAGAACACCACTTGTACATAATCTCTTCCAGAAAATTAAAGAGGGAACACTTCTCAATTCATCAGATGAAACTAGCATTAATTACCAAGATAAGGGCAATCCAGAAAAAGAAAACTACAGACCATACCCTTCATGAGTAGGGACAGAAAACTCCTTAAAATATTAGGAAATAGAACTCAACAATATATGGGAATAATTATATACCATGACCAAGTGGTGTTTATTCCAGGAATGCAAGGTGGGTTCAGTATTCAAAAATCAAGGCTATAGGCCCTGACTGGTGGGGCTCATTTGGTCAGGTGTCATTGTGGGTTCCATTCCCAGACAGGGCACATGCCTATGTTTTGCGTTTGGTCCCTGGTTGGGGCACATTCGAAAGGCAACCAATTGATGTTTCTCACAATATTTCATTCCCTCTCTTTCTCTCTTCTGTCACCTCTCTCTAAAAATAAATAAACATCTTTTTCTTTTTAAATCAAAGTTATCCACCATATTTACCAGGCTGTTGTGGGCAGAATAGTGGTTCTCTAAAGATTCCCCGTCCTAATCCCAAGAACCTGTGAACACCTGAGGTTACATGGTGAAAGGAATTTAAGGTTGCAGATGAAATTAAAGTTGCTGATCAGCTGACTTTATTTTTTATTTTGTTACATTTTTATTTACTGATTTTAGAGAGAGGAGGCAGAGAGAGAGAGACAATAATTTGTTGCTCCACTCACTCATGAATTCATCCTGTATGTGGTTGATTCTTCCTGTATGTGCCTGGGCCATAGATCAAACCTGCAACCTTGGCATATCCAAATGATGCACTAACCAGCTGAACTACCTGGCCAGGCCACTGACTAGGTGACTGTAAAATACAGGGATTAACCCTGACTGGTGTGATTCAGTTGGTTATCGTTCCACAGAGTGAAATGTCGCCAGTTAGATTCCTGGTAGGGCACATGTTTGGGTTGCAATATCAGTCCCTGGTAGGGGTGTGTAACAATTGATGTTTCTCTTTCACATCGATGTTGCTGTCCATAAAGTAGGGAAGAGGTAAACCATCTCAACTTGGTGGAGAACATCTACAAACCTTCAGTTAACATTGTACTTAATGGAGTGTCCAGTAAAGATGGAGGTGCAGATAAACATGCCTCACCTCCAAGTACAACTATAGCAAAAAATACAACTAGACTACGCAACAAATATCGCCCAGAATTATCAAAAAGTTGAGCTGCGTAGAAGAAGCCACATTCATCCAGCTGGGTAGGAGGGGCAGAGGTGCACAGAGAGGGGGAAAGGCGTGGAGAGGTGCAGAGACAGGAACGGGCTGTCTCACATCCATGTGTGGTGGATAAAATTCAGGAGGGATACTTTGAGAATGAGGGAATCCCAGCCCCAGACCGGACTGCTCAGCCCAGGGTTCCAGAGCCAGGAAGATAAGTCCCCATAGCTTCTGGCTATAAAACCAGTGGGGGCTGGGGGAGTGGAAGAAACTACAGGATTCTCAAGACTCCTCCTAAAGGACTCAAAACAGACTTAGAACTCATGCAGACCCACCCTCTCTGGGATTCAGCACCACGGCAACAGCTGGAAGAGCACCAGGGGCATATGGGGAGGAAGTGAAGTGACTGGCATCAGGGTAAGCGCTGGGAGACAGCTCCCTCCTGGGCAAAACTCCAGAGGCCGGGCAGCAGCATGGTCCCCTCTCTGAACCCTCCCCCACAGACAGCAACAGAGTGGTGACACAGGTTGCCCTGCTCTGGCTAGTACCTAAGGCTCCACCCCATACAACTTAGTAGGGAGCCCTTTTCTACAACTGGCCACACCACTAAGACAGGGAGTCAAAGCCGCTCTACCTAATTAATACACAGAAACAAACACAGGGAGGCCGTCTAACTGAGGAGACAAAGAAGTATGGCCCAAGTGAAAGAACAGGACAAAACTCCAGAAAAAGAACTAAACGAAATGGAGATAAGGAACCTATCAGATGCACAGTTGAAAACACTGGTTATGAGGATGCTCCGGGATCTCACTGAGTACTTCAAAGGCATAAAAAAGACCCAGGTAGAAGAGAAGGTTACATTAAGTGGAATAAAGAAAAATAACTATAGGGAACCAACAGTGGAGGGGATGATGCCAAGAATCAAATCAACAGTTTGGAACACAAGGAAGAAAAAAGCATTCAATCAGAACAGCAGAAAGAAAAGAGAATAAAAAAAAAGAAAAAAGAGGACAGTTTTAGGAACATCTAGGACATCTTTAACCTCTGGTAGCTTCAGATACCAACATCCAAACCATATTGGTGGAAGAAGGAAAAGAGAAATAGCAAGAAATTGAAAACATATTTGATTTTTTTTTAAGATTTATTTATTTATTTATTTATTTTCAGAGAGCGGGGGAGAAAGAGGGAGAGAAACATCGATGTGTGGCAGATACATCGATTGGTTGGACTTCCAACAAAAATGGAGGAGTAGGTAGACACATACACCTCCTTGCACAACCATAAGAAGGATCACAATGAACCTCAAAACAAAAAGCAACAAGAACTGCCAGAAAATTGAATTGTATGGAAGTCTGTCAACCAAGGATTTAAAGAAGTAATATTCATCCAGATGGGTAGGAAGGGCAGAAATGGAGAGCCAGGGTGGAGAGGGTGCAGTGTGGTGGCAGCAACGCAGGAACAGTGAGATACTGGCCGGCAGAACAGGTGGTCTCACATTTACATGGGGTGGATAACAACTAGAAGGGATACCTAGGGAGTGAGTGAGCCCAGCCCCAGGCAGCCCAGGGTTCCGGTGCCAGAAAAATAAAGCCTCATAACTTCTGGCTGTAAAAATCAGTGGAGGTTGGGGTGGTGGAATAAACTGCTGGGCTCTCAGGAGAGTCTATTTAAAAGACCCCAACAATACTAGAACATAGGCAAAACCACAAACTCTTGGACTCAGCATCAGGCATTAG